AAACTTCTTAAAATGTCTTGATAGTATCATTACTCTTCTAACTGCTCACTGTGGCACACTGGGACACAAATTATTGTATCAAACTCACAGATGAAATGATTTGCCTACAGCTAGGCTGGATCAACCAAGGCAGGGCTGGCTATCCTATTTTTCTAGCACCATCTCCATAGTTCAAGGGGATTCAACCAGAAATGCAAAATGAACAGTGCAGCTAAGGTGTCCAGTCTCAGGATATTCTGGGTCCCTGGCACTGCTGGGCCAAATGTGACTCCCCAGGATCAGGCTCATCCGCGCGTATCCACCTTCTGGCTAGGCACCTGCAGACAGGCATTGTGCAATAGAAACTACTTTAAAAGATGCTGTGGCTTTGGTGTGTGTAGCCAAAGGAAACTTCTGTTTCTAGAATGCTGACAGGACGGGCAACCAGACTGGGCCAAGTCAAATGTTTTTTGGGACCATTCAATTATGCTACCCTCTAAGTAGACATAGTCTTTTAAAAAATTAGAAAAGAAAGAAAAGAAAAAGAAAAATCTTCATGCTTTCATTTGTGATAATTTGATGACATTTTACTTAGGAAAAAATCATTACCACTACTTAGAATGTCCCCCAGATGATTTTCTAAAGCATAGTACTCTTATGAAAAACGATTTCCTAACGAAGTTAACTACTTCCTCCGGTTTTCAAGCCAGATACATACCATTGGGTTGCTAAGCAAAGCCAGAGGATGTCATTTAATACACCCTCATTATATTCAGATACATGGAGATTTCAAATGACCCCATTAAGCCACAGTGCCATGCTACAGTGCCTGTATCCAGGAAGCAGACGGTTTGGCCACAGACCCTTTGGGTGCAAGCTGGAAATCTTATTAACAAAGATCCGTAAGTACACAAATGCATCTCTTCTCAGTCCTGATTTAACTCTTAGACAACAAGCCTAGAAAACAAGCTCTGGGTACACATGGTCTAGATCATCTCTGCCCCTCTGCCCCTCTGCCCCTGGGATCAACGGCCAGAGACAGCAGGTGATGACTGACAGTGCCCTGAATTCCAGGTTTTCCAAGAGGGCTGTTTTCACTGGAGCCTTTTCAGCAGTGCCTGAGCACAGCTGAGGGATATACTAAACTCTGTATTCACATAGGCAGTCTTTAGATCAGGGGTTCTCAACCAGGATGATTTTGTCCCTGGGGGACAAATGACAATGGAGACATTTTTGGTTGCTGGGGGAGGGGAGAGCATACTTCAGCACTTCCACAATGAGCAAGCACTATCCAACACCAAGGCCAAGGGCATTCAGACCAAGGAAGCTGCTTTAGATGAAAACTGATAAGCATGTGGTAACTCCAGTGCTGTTGTGACTCACTATCAATTTACTCAGGACTCCTGACACAACAATCTCAGGAAGGGTTACTGGTGTTTGCTGTGCCTGTGTCTTCTCATTAGCAATTCCTCCTGGGAGGCAACCTGCAGGCAGCAGAGTGGAGGGCCCCATGGCCCCAAGCCTGCCTTTCCTGCTCCCTGCCGGCTGCCCCTTACTCCCTGTGGCACACACACCCTGGCCTGCAGTACCCATCCCGGGCCAGCCACCCTAAAAACCACAGGCTGTACTCAGGACTTGGGCTCCCAAGTTCGTGCTACAGCCTGGCTTCTCGCTGGCTTAGGAGCTTGGGCACAGAAGAATGTTGGGACTCCCTTTCTTGTCTTTAAGACAATGAGCATAATAGCAAGCAGATTATAAGCTTTGATAAGAAATAATGCCAGGTAAAAAACCTATGGAAGTCAGATTTGGTGCTGTGTTGCTGTTCTCATATCCGTCAGCATCACAGCCACAAAGCATTCAAACACAGAAACGGAGTAATTTAGTTCATTCTACACTAAACTACTATCTCTAAAACTTACCCCACCTGGGGAGAGTTACATTTCAAGAAAGAACAAAGGCAAAACCCAAAGGAATTACTCTCTCCTGAAGGACTTTCAAGTTCTTCTGATAAGGAGGAGTAATATTTTTAAAAGGGGAAGTTGTCCTTTTTATCCTTTAATCAAGCACTGGCTCTGGCTGTCTTTGAAGCCTATCTCTGCAGGAATCCAAAGCCTTGGGAATCTTGAAAGGACCTTGTTATGTAAATAGGATGGCCCAAGGGTGCTGCCCGGGCCTACCACTCTGCTTCTCCTAGATGAAAGACACTTTGCACTTGGTTTGCCAAGGACAGACCACTTCTCTTTCTTTTGTCTTCTGGGGCAACCACCCCATCTACAGCTCCTCAGTGTCTCTCTTTGTACCTACATGCTATCCCCTGCTAACTACCTTACACCCCTGACTCATCTGCATGTGCCCTCACTCCCTGGTGGCCCACCTGGACCCGTGCTGACCTGCTGCTGCCTGGCCTAACTCCAGAGCTCAGGGCACAACTTACTCTCCAACAGGGAAGGAAATGCATTTCCCTTATCACACCTGTTTCTGGAACTGGCTGCATGTGTTTATCAGAGTAGAGCTGCTTGGGGCTTGTTTGGGTTTCCTAAGGCTGCCTTATAAAAGTAACAAAAACTTGGTGGCTTAACAAACAGAAATTTATTTGCTCACAGTTTTAGAAACTAAAAGTCCAAAGTCAAGGTGCAAGCACTCCTTCTGAATGCTATAGGGAAGGATCCTTGCCTCCTCCTAGCCACATCACCCTAATTTCTGCCTCCATCGCCACATGGTGTCCTATTCTGTGCACCCTGTCTTCAAATGGCATTCTCCTGTATCCAAACTTCCCTCTTTTTTTAAGGATACCAATCACTGGGAGTGGGGCCCACCCAAGTCTAATATGACCTCATCTAACTTGATAACAGTTCTAAGATCCTATTTCCAAATAAAATCACATCCTCAGTGGGTATGAATTTTGGGGGTATTCTGATATTCAATGTCATACAGACCTCTAGGAACAGTTATCCAGGGGGCAGTCACTTCTTTCCAAAGCACAAAGGTACACCTGGTGTCTGCGTTCAGACTCCACTGTACACCCATCTCTCTCCCATCCTTAGGGTCGTGGGTGAGTCAGGCCTGGGTCCTTTGTCCACTTTGGTCTTTTCTATCAAAGATTTACTCTCTCTGGAATCAGGCTCTGCTGGCCACCTGGATCTCAAATCTCTCAAATAAGATTACATATGAACGGACCACAATTATGGAGAAGCTTTAAAGAACCTGAGGCTCCCTGATAAGAGAAGGATGGGCTGGGTGTCACTCAATGCCATAAAGCAGTGTCCCCAGACCCCACTCTGACCCAGTGAGCCTAGCTTGTATCACCCTTCTGTGGAGGAATCCATGGACTGGGCCACTGGCTCTACTCACTTTTTTATTGCTGTAACAAGAGACTTAAACAGCTACAAATGCACCAATCCACAGTGAAAGGAAAGTGTGGGCCATTGGAGGGACATGAACTCTGGCACAGCAGGTAAACCATGGCTCCAGCTGGGCTTTCTGGCAGCCATGTGATCACAGCAGCTTCACCCAATCTCTCCATTTCTGACAGTCAGAACAAATGGCAAAGAATTAGGTGGCTTAGGTTCTCCAGCAAATGAGACACATTGCTACGTGCCCTAATAAGCACCAAGAGAGAAAGTCCCTTCATGGAAGTAAGCACATATTAAAAACCCTACTTTTAAAAGTGTTTTGTTAAACATAATTTGGTTTGAAGTGGCATGAAAGATTGACCCTGGCAGGCTCCTCACAAGGTTTAACAGTCATTTTCAGGTGGGTAGAGTATGGTCAGAGGGAGGTCAGTAAATGAATCAGAGTGAGAACTTCTTGGGAAAAATGAGGCTTACTCCCACCCCCCACAAAAGTTAAGGAAAATGTAAGAATTATTAATATTATTCAGAGTCTGATTGAGGACACAGTGGATCTCCTGAAATTGGGACACAGTCATGCTTTACAAGTGAAATATGTTATAAAATACAAAGAATGCTTGACAGAGTTCCTCTTACCTCAATTCCTTCTTTGTTTAAGGCATATTCATCGAAATTCAGAATGGCTATCTTAATCGTCCTTGGAGGGGGCAACACAGTCAAACCAATATTGATCGC